TCTCCCTGCTTTTCACCATAAGCTATAGGACTTGGGAGTCAGGAAAAAAACAAGACCAAACTTATCCTATAGGCTGAGATATGAACCAGATCACCCAATCACAAAAGCATTTGTAAATAGTTGCTAGGTGCAGGAAGGGAAGACTTTCTGCTTCAGGGAGTGTGCTTGTTGCTGCTTCCAAGTGGACAAAGTCAAGAAGGACACCCACTGGTGTTACTTTGAGGCTTGGCACACATAAACTGTGGTGTCTGGTCATGACACCTTCTTTGTAAATATATGTATATAATGTAAATGCAAATATATTATGTATATAATTTTGTGACTTGCTAAACCTGGTCCTGTCTTCTGCTGGACATTTTTGGAAGTAGCAGGTAGACAGAAATTCTGGAACTCCATTTTCAGTAGTTTTACATGAAAAATGCCTGAGACATGCCTTGCATTTTGATTAGGGATGGGAGATAAACTCATGTTTTAGATGCATCGAGATGCAAACATGAATGATTATCAATCGATTTTAAAAAAGTAAAAAATCAATTTTATTAATGACAGGGTGCCAAAAGCGGAACTGAGCTAAAAGGAAGTCTGGAGCTTGGATGGAACGGTTATTATATGTACAGGACAACTGAGGAATACGGCCAGCACTGCCAACAATAAAAGCAAGCGTATGGAATTACTTGAGTTTTTATGAGTTTGAGGGGAAAAGGGACCTGGACAAAAGCCATTTAGGTTGTGTAAAAAAATACTGAAATATTTTGGAAACACAACAAACATGAGAAACACCGTTGATTGTTTTCACTCGGAGGAGGAGAAAAAGATGCCGGTAGCTGCGGCTGCCGCCACCAAACCAGAGAACTATTGAGCAGGCGTTGTTAAAAATTCCACCAAACTCAGAAAAGGCAATCAGAATTACAAAGTCCATAGCAAGTTTTACCTCAAAAGATTTGCGTCCATACGCCTTTTTTTTCCTGTTTTATACACTTATTTATACATTTAATTGAAGTTCTTGTCAAGGGTATTTATACTCAAAATTTTGTTTTCTAATCGTATTTATTTTTTGAAAAAGAACAGTTATTCATGTTCAAATCAATTGGACATCCAGCATAATTTTGTTTGGAAGCTGTTAATGACAGCACTTCTGTTCTTTAAAACATTGCACTGATACTTGTGTTAATAAAAGATATTGGAAGTAAATTAATGTTTCATCATTACAAATGTTTTTCGTAAGCACCACTTAATCACTTGGCAGCCAGGTGAGGGAGGAGAAAGATGCATCAATAATCGGAGCTCCCTGAATCGTAATCAAATCGAATCGTGATGTTCCTGAAGATTCCCACCCCTAATTTTGATGCAAGAAACTTGCATTTAACAGTTGTTTGCTACATTTGGCAATTTGGCTTTTGCACCCACACCCTATAGTTTTATTCTGAGAGCTGAAAATGGTTCGTTACAAATGTTTGTGGTTTTCACTGCAAGAACTGTCATTTTTTCTACTCGGATTTTGATCTTTGTGTATGTTCAGGTTCAGTGTGCTAATACAGTATGACAAAAAGAAGAAATGACTCTAAATTCACATAGTCGAGGTTGTGCTAAAAAGAATGATACCAACAAGGCATAAACAATGAAATATAGATTAAAATATAAAGGTGAACACTTAAACTTGTCAAATTGGCTAATTACACCGACTCCAGAGGGTTAAGTAACAGTGTGACATAGATCTGTGAGAATTTTCTGAATTAAGCCTTTTCATCTATTTTCTGTCAGAAGCTAATTCAAAAGACTATTTTCATGTTCAGCTTGCATGAAAAACTCAGTGATCAATCATTTTGAAAAATAATAATTAAAACGTGATTTCTCAGTGAAATTGCTCTTTCATGTTAGTGAAACAGTGGCCTAGTGGTGGCAGAGTGGAGCGTTTGCCCTGGGCCTGGGAGATCAGTGTACAAATCCAGTCAGGTCATGGCAAAGACTTTACAAATGGGACCCAATGCCTCCCCGCTGACGCTCAGCTCTGAGGGGTTGGATTGGGGGCTTAAACCAACAAATAGTTCCCGAGTGCAGCCACAGCTGCAGCTCACCGCTCCCCAAGGGGATGAGTCAAATACAGATAAGTAATTTCACCAGTGTGAGATGATGAATAACTAGGCTTTAACTTTGAAATATTTAAAATCTCAGAGGAGGAGCAGTTGTTCTCATAATGAATAACATAACATAATTTTTTAATTTATCATCTACCACATCAAGTCTTCAATACCTTGTCACAATAAAGTCAAATGAATAAAAGCAGCTGCAACAGACATCATGATATCCCACTTCTAGGTAGATGCATGAAAAATCAGGGGGCCGGCTTTCAATTTCTATGGAAAAAAGTTGTGTAGAATGAGTAATTATACTTATGTCACAATGAGTGACACAAGTGTGCAAAATGACTGGAAGCCATCAAGCAAACATATGAGGAGTTTTTTATACGGATCTTCTGGGGTTTAAGTGAATACTTTAAAACCTCACAGCAGACTTTTCTGCTTTAGGGAAGAGACATTTTTTAATTCACTGACACATAAAAGCCACCTGATTACTGTTTACAGGAAATAGGTTTTTCTTTCTTTCTTAAAAATAAAAACAGTAAATCAATGCACTTTAAAAAGAACACACTCACAAAGAAACTCTTTACTGCAGTATAATTTAGGTCAGCGCTCTTTGAACACAGTGGGGAAAAAGTAGGTTGTTATGTAATGCAGGTTATGGTGTTTTCCAGTCTGCTCATGCATGAGTGTTTACTGGGCTCACACATGCTTCTGCATGTGCATCTCTTTCTTTGTTTGTGGAACAGAGTGAATGTGTCCCATTAGATGCTTTAGCACAGCAACTACTAATTAATGTAACGCACACACACACACACACACACACACACACACACTTGTGCAGAACCACAGTCCCATTCTTTCACTCCCATTAGTCCATTCACTCTGCTGTGATGCCTGAAACTTCAAAGGAACCTAGACCTGTCACTTCTAATGATGAGAGAAAGTTGACTGTAGCCTCGAGCAACAGGGCCTCGGAGACATGCCCCCACTAAAGGGGGGAGACAGACGGGCGACTGGGAGGCTGAGGGAGAGGGTTTTAAAAGGAAAAGTGCTGTGCAAAGGAAAATAAACTGGATTTATAAAACAGGAGGGTTGATTAGGATGTCCCGATCCTGATCCCTGGATTGGACTGGGCCGATTTTTTCATATTTTTCAGTGATCAGAGATCGGCAATTACAACTGACGAGTCTTGCAGAGCTCCCGAAATAGACTATGAGCACGTTAGCATATGCTACTTCTGAGGGAAAATTTCCTGTAAGGGGCTACTTTTCTGTGTGACAGAACTCCCCGGTTTGCGGTCAGGTTTTCCAAAAGAAGTCAACAAATGGATGATGAATCAAGCGGCGAGTTACATTTCTCAAGATGTCTGGGACACTTATCAAATTGCTCTCCTCTCCTGCCGGCTCGCATGAATTAAAATCCTTCCAGGGAAACCTCAGAGTCTGCTATGAGCTCGTTCATTCACGTCTCTGTAAAAAACATCAGGCTGTCAGTAGTCTCGCTGCAGCTAGCCCCACCGAGCGCCCAAATTCCACTACCTCCGCTCCGGCACCAACTCCGCAGCAAAATCGGTCCCGTTGTAGTCAATCAGAGCTATTCCACTACTGCGGCCGTGCTGCGGCAGTGCGGCGCACCTCTGTTCCGGCGTCCGGCAAAAATAGAATCGATCCTATTTTTGCCGGACGCCTGAGCACCTCAGCAGTCAATGGACAGGAATCACAACCGCCCAACAGGAAAGGGAGCAAGCACAGCTTCCGTTATTTCACAATAAATCGATAAACAAAAGGCATTTTTTGTTTCATATGCAAAGGTTTAACAACTTTTAACAACTATCAATGGCGGCTGAACTTTAAATGCACAAAAATAAGCCATAAATACAGTTTCCACTATCAAAGTAGACATACTTTGTTGATCCAAACACTGCTGATCTCTCAACACAAATGATGGGCAGATTAAACAGTTCATTTCGATGCTTCTCCCACATAACGGGTGTTTGGATATAACTTCCGCGTTTATTGCTCGGACTGTATCGCAAGATCTCAAAAATCCCACGCATGCTTGTTTGCGCACCTCAGGTCTCCGCACCGGAGCGGAGCCGTTGTAGAGCAGGTACCACTAAAAATTGAGTTCGGAAGCGAGTGGCTGCGGAAGGCGGGGGCGGACCGGAGCGGAGGTAGTGGAATTTGGGGGTAAGAGCTCGCCCATTTTATTGGTGGGAAAGCGGACATTTCCCATAATCACGACGGGTAGATTTGGCCAATATCTCCATTCCCACTCTGGAGCTTAATTCTGCTGCATCTTTGTTTCTCGTTTCTCCGTAATTCAGGAGGCAGAAACGATGTTTCACGTGGAGAAATTAGCTGATAAAGAGACCTAGCATTAGCTGCGCCCACCTTAAGGGCATTAAAACACGCACAGAAGAAAAAGCAAAGAGTGAAAAGAGAGTAACAAAGCGAGAGCTGCAAATACTGGCTGCAGTCCACCTTGTGCTCTTTGTAACTGAACGCGATCTGTCCTTTTTGGTACTTTGGAGTCCATCTTCACATTAGCAATTCACCGCAAAATAAAGCTACCGGTAACATAACATTCTACATCCGGTCTCAAAACAGGAAGTTGATTTCATGGGATTTACAACAATAATGGCAATGCCTGTAACTGAAATTAGTCTTAGAACGTTAACTTGAGTTACTTGCTAAAAATATTTTTCAGCTTCATAAATTTCAATAGTGAAGGCAAACTACCGGATCGGGACTCGAAATCTAATCGGATTTGAAGTTAAAAGATCGGATCTGGATCAGGAGCCTAAAATGCTGATCGGGACATCCCTAGTGTTGATTTTATATCAGACTATAACAAGATTCAACAACAAGAATCAAAATGTGATTTATAAAAGGACGAGTGCAACACAACCAAACTTACCAAGCCAGCTTCTGTTCAAGTAGACGGAGACGAAGACAGGAGGAACGGTGAAGAAGTCCACCACTGAGTTGACCTCCAGCCAGAACCACAGCTTGTCACTGGCTGCTATGAACTGTCAGTGAAACACACAACCAGGGTAGACAAGAATGGCATTTAACATGACATCTAACTTTTAATTTTACACAAAACGCCATCACAAGCTGTCACTTGAAGCTGCAGTGTCAGTGCTGACATACAGTTTAAAACAACAAAAGATCCCCCCACCTTGCTGAGTCATAGTAACGGATGGCAGTGTAAGCAGCTTATGAGTTTATTTATTCATTCGTTCAGGATGCCAAGCTTGCGTTTGCACTACTTCAATGCTGCTGTGACATGACAGCCATGATGGCTGTGTTCTTAAAACGGTTTCAGTGAAACTAAAGGCATTCAGAGTGGGCCCTGGGAGTAGCCCTGGGAGAAAAAGGGCTTTTGACAAAATTTGTAACAAAAAATGTAGTTTTATATGTTTCCATGCAACACAGTACACAGTGCAACGTGGATACACATTTCTCTGGGTGCAGGCGTGAGTGTAGATGCACAGGTGGCTTACCCGCAAGCCAAAGTAAAGAAGAAAGAAGACGTTGAAGGCCATGTCGATCTGTAGAGTAAAATCGTTGTAGAAGTTTGGGCAGGATTCTATAGGACTGGAACACAGAAGCAAAGAGAGAAAGAAAAAATAGATCATTATTCTATGAAACTGATGGTAAAACAATTATACCTCCATCCATCCATCCATCCATTTTCAACCTCTCCCTAGCCAGCTCCTCTGGTTTGAATCCTAGGGCGTTCCCTGGCCAGCTGAGAGACATTGTCCCTCCAGCGTGTTCTGGGTCTTTAGGTTTCCTGCCAGTTGGACATGCCCAGGAAACTTCACCAGGGAGGCATCTAGGAGGCATCCTAAACAGATGCTCGAGCTACCTCAACATGACTCCTCTTAACGTGGAGGAGCAGTGGATTTTCTCCAAGCCCCTCCCGGAGGACTAAGCTTCTCACCCTGCGGAGAAAAGTCATTTGTCCGCTTTTATCCATGATCTCATTCTTTTGGTCACTACCTAAAACTCGTGACCGTAAGTGAGGGTAGGAACGTAGATCGACCGGTAAATTGGGAGCTGTCACCATTACAGATCGGTACAATGCCTGCATAACTGCAGACGCAGCTCCAATCCACTTGTCGATCTCATGCTCCATCTTTCCTTCACTCATGAACAAGACTCTGATTGGGGCAGGACCTCATCCCTGACCTGGAGAAGGCATTCTACCCTTTTCCAACTCAAAACTATGGTTTCGGATTTAGAGGAGCTGATACTCATCCCAGCTGCGTCACACTTGGCTGCGAACCGGTTCAATGAGAGCCAGAGATCCTGTTCCGATGAAGCCAACAGGACCACATCATCTGCAAAAAGAGACTCAGCCCTCAGGCCGAAACGGATCCCCTCAGCACCTTGGCTGCTCCTAGAAATGCTGTTCATAAAAGTTATGAACAGGCAGTTCTGAACAACAATATACGTTTAAAACATTTACCCATATTTAGATATAATTTCTTTATTAAAATATTCAGCCCTAATAATTTAATAGTACAGTTTCAGCAATCCATTATATTTCCTCCATGGAGTCTTTGGGGTTCTTGGAGTTAGATGAAAAGACTGAGCTGCAGAGTCAATCACATGCAGATGAAACGGATGAAAAAGTACTGAAACTCGTAGCTGCTTTGATGTGACAGTACTTTCAGCACAGATGAATTATTCAGTGTCTGTCAGACTGAAGTATTTCCACAGATATTTCTGCAGCTGAAGAGAATGCAAGAGAGAGACACTGTTGCTTAAGAGAAAAAACGGGCACATGATGATAAAAGAGTTGTCTCTCATAAATATAAGCCATTGTGAGATAAAGCACTGACAAGCTGGGTGTTTTTGACCCACGTGTTCACATGAAACAAGAGTAAACATTTCACAAAGTGTTAAGTAAGTAAAGGGGTTGTCAACTGGTGGGCCTCGAGCCTCATCAGTCCTGGCAGTGTGGTGCTTTGGGTCCATAAATCATTTTACGTAACACATGGACAATTCAATTTAAGAATGAATGTCTTCAGCACATTAACCAACCAGATGCTGGTTTAAAGCATGCAACAAGCACCAACACACATTGATACACAGCAGCAGGAAGGGCTTAGTACACATATGTCACAACAAGCTGGTGCAGTTTTATGCAGTAAGACTTCTTGTTAATCTCAGTGCAATGCAGATGTCTTTAACATTTAGTTTACTACTAGGTGTAGATTTTTACAAATTGTTCTCATTTAGCCCAAATGTAGTTATGTTTTGGCCTAGAGAGTTGGCTAGTGTTTTTATTCAAAATGATGGTCCTTTCTGCTTCTTGCTTATGAGACTTCTAAATTTAGAGTAGTGTTTAAAATGAATACTACATCCATAGGTAATGGGCTATAAGAAGTCCAAATGAGTTGATTAAAAGGGCATGAAGTACTTTTGACATCCTGTGGTTAAATCTGGGCTCTAGCCAGTTATGGCTCAGTGCTCCTTTTAATATTCTGTCCACAATGCTGCTGTTTTTTGCCTGCCAGTGTCCGATTACAGACCCCAGCGTTAGCTGACTAGGCAACACCCTGGGCTCACTGATTGTAAACAATGACAACATCCCTCTTTAAAGCCCCAGAGTGTGATATTTTTACCAGTTTACTATCAAATCCTGTGTTTCCAGTTCACAAATTTGTCCTTTTTCACTAATATTTCTCACCAACATCTATTCTAAATATTCCTCTCAACTTGAAATTATACATTTTAAAATACATAAACTGTGGTCGACGCTCCATGGTCATCCACCATCTTAAAATACAGTAGCTGTTTAGGGACATGCGAGCTCAATGTTAGGCATTTGGACTATGACAGTAACCTGAAAGAACTAGCAGAGGGCAGCAGTGCGCCCTGGAAGCATGAAGTCTCGTAATTCAACTAAGAAATAGAAAAGAATAGCCACATTGTCGCTGTAATTTTAGTTTGAATAAAAAAACTATTAAATCAAAAGACAAAATTTGTCAGTTCGTCATCATGCCCAACACAAGGAAGCTGCATATGTTCAGGCCCCTGCCCGCTATTAGGGACGCCAGCCTCCGATTAGTGTCTCTGACTCCCAAACTCACCTCAAGTTGTTCATCCATCTTTTCCTAGTACCAGAACTCCCGACCCGGTCCCAACGTGTCTGTACCAGAACTCCCGATCTGGTCCCAACGTGTCTGTACCAGAACTCCCGATCTGGTCCCAACGTGTCTGTACCAGAACTCCCAATCCGGTCCCAACGTGTCCGTTCCAAAGTACTTCTACTCAAGTCTCCTCTCTTCCCGCAGCCTGCTGTCTCGCCCAACACGCTCCAGCGCTCATGCACTAGCCAGTGGCTAAATCAGCATTGTTTACTTGATCTGCACAGCACTTTACTAACAGCGATGTAGTTCTCCACGCGTTACAGAGTCGCTCTGACACAGAAGGCTTCTTCTCAAGCTTTACCTTTAGACTTGGTCTCCTTTTGCTGGTAATCTGTGGGAGTTTACGCACAGCATACACAGTGTCTCCCCGGCTCTAGCTATGGCTAACTAGTAGCTCGTGATGCCCATCTCCACCACGCCAGCCGTGAGCAACGATTAGCTGGTGGATAAGTCAGCATTTTTTACTTCATCTCCATCGTGTCCCCGGCTCACCAACACTCCTTCACCAGCCGTGGTTAACGATCAGCCAGTGATCGCTCCGTATCCATATAAGCTGGTAGAGGCAGCCAGTTTGTTTACATTGAGGCGCTGTGATCCAAGTGAAATGGGTGTTGCGGGAAATTATGTTCCCCTGAAATATTCTGTTTCCCTTCGGCAGTCAAGAGCAAATTTTTCCAAATCCACATAACTTATATTGTCCAGTATGAGGACTAAACTACCTCAAATTAAAAATGGTTAAACTGAGTGAAATTACATCGTTTTACATAATTTTTAAAAATGGTCAATAAGCTTGCTGCAAAAGAGTGAACAAGAATGTTTTTACTGTATCTTTTTATTGTTTTTAGGAGGAAATACAGATAAAAATCACAAGCCTAACATTATTACATTACATTACATGATTTTCCCGTAAAAGTTTATCACAAATGTTGTGAAAATAGGCATAAGTGTGATCTCCCGACACAGGGGACAGAATATTTCTGGGGAACACAATTTCTCACAACACCTGACCTCCTGGCTGACATCGCCCCTCCGTGTTTGAATCGTGACCGCTTCAAGAACAGAACTAGCCTGCTTCCTTCAGAACTGGCAGGTTGATAAAACAGTCATGATTATAAATGCTTTTTTAAAAAGGTCGAGTAGCTTGTTTTAAGCTTTGTGTGGGTTAGACTAGACAGGTTGGAAATTGATTATACAGTCAAACTCATGAGTGAGCCACCGTAGCTGCAGTACTTTCTCTGAACTGCATGGCGCTAAAGAGTCGCAATTTTTCATCCTCATTTCAATGGATTTCACACACGGGGCCTTTAAGGAGAAAAACAGGCCTGCACCCGACTAAGAAGAGAGAAATCCGTTTCAAACTAAGCTTCCTACCAGCATGATTGAGACGTTAAACTGTTGTGATGAATTTTTTGTTAATTTCTTACTTAATGTACCTTTAAAGAACAATAACATCAGTAAAATGAGAAGTAATACAAGTAACCTATAATTTATCCTCATTCTTTGATTTCCATTTTTACCATTTATAAGCAATCACAAGTGTACAATTGTTTAATGGTTTTGTAAACAAAAGAATTCAGAAAATGCCATCTGTTTATTACTAAATTATCAAAAACATGAATAATCAAGGACCCTTGAGCAAGTTTCATCACTGACCCTTTACTCAAAGACAACTTCCAGAGTTAGAGCGAAGCTAGGCTTTATAATCTATCAATTAACATCACATATCATGACATGAAGCCTCATTTTAATGGTTAACTGTTGAGGAGGGAGATCCAGCTGAATGGTCTGACTAGAAAATATCCCGAGGACCGAAGTGATCTTTGAGAGGATGTATAATTATGTCTCAGCACTATAGCGTGTGCAGAATGACTCAAAGTAATAAAGCGATTGAGTAAAAAAGTGACTGTTTGGGTCAATTGTGGTTCCTTATTTTAGGAGGTTTCTGGACCATATTGATTTCACTCTTCATGAGGTTCAAAGAACAATACTCCATTATTACCACCACAAGGATTACTGATCCATGTGCATGGACTTTGAATCAAACATGCACACTGCCTTATAATAAACAGTGTACCTGTACTCATTTTCTTTTCTTTAAATTTCACCATTAGGTTCAAACAAGCCACATAATCATCCACACAAAGATCTCGCTTCCTTTACATGCTTGGATAAAGCTTACAGAGCTTTTATGCACGTCTATTCATCCTCACACACACAAAGGCCAATACAGGCGTGCACGTATAAGCATGAATAGCCGTATATGCACAAATGTACAGATGGTGCACACTGAAGACACCATTTGGAGTGGTCACTGTTGTATTTTACCTCAGGCCCAACTCTGGCCTAATTCTGAATAATGGCTAATCTACTGTCATGTGACCCAAAGCATTATTTTACGGCAAAATGGGAGCGTGGCGGCATTGGACTCTCAAT